AGCGCGTGGGCCCCGTGTCCACCGTGGGCGTGACCGGTGAGTGGGGGTGAGACAGGGCCCCCTGGGGAAGCCGGACCTACAGGACTTTCCGTTTATTACCACGTGCATGAAAACACATATTCTAGGCAGCACGTCTCTTTTACACATCACATGGCCTGAGGATCTTGGTAATTACCAGGGCAGATTCAGATGCCACAGTCGTGGGCTGGGGCCAGAGTTTCTACATCCCTGATGCAATGCTGATGCTGCTGGTCCAAGGACCACAATTTGAGTAGCAAAGCTGGTCACGACAAAGGAATTGGATGCTTTCTTAGAATTTGTTGGAGAGAGTTGTACTGGCATCCCTGATTCCTCCCAGAGGCTTTGCCTCCCTGTAGTTCACTGGAGGCTGGGGGAGAAGACAGAAGGGGCTCAGGATGTAGCATCCTGACCGAAACACCTCCAGGCCTCGTGGTTTGGGTGCTCTCAGGCTTCTGATTCCCATGGGTCAACAAGATTGGGTGCCCTGGGCCAAGCACTGTGGGAGTTCACTGGGGCGAGCCTGATCGTGGCAGAGAGAAGTTCTTATCGTAATGGGGATCCCGGGCGTGGGGAAACAGGCCGTGAACCAGCAATCAGGCAAAGGAGCATGTGCGTGTGACAGGAAGCGCTGGGGCTTCCTTCACAGCCAGCCTGCCCAGGAGTGTCCACGGGACAGCTGACACCTGAGGTTGGGCGGGGCGTTCGCTTGGTGACAGGGTCAGATGCACGTCACAGCTGGTGCCAGGGCCTGGAAACTAGGCACGTCGCGGCCCACGAGAGGGACAGAGAGGATTCTGTGTGAGAGCCTCTGAGGGAGGGAGGGAGTCGTGAGATGGGGGTGGAGCAGCAGAAGCAACTCAGAAGCCAGGGGCTCGTCCCGGGGGTAGAGAGGGCTGTTGCCCCGTGAAGCTAAGGCCGACACCATCAGATGTGCAGCGGAAGGTTCGGCCTGGCCCCTGTGAGGAACGGACGGGGCAGGGAGGCAGGGAGCCCGGGAGGGACACGGTGACCCAGGGGAGAGGCGACGGGGCTGCGGTGGGACCCAAGCCAGCCTGGTGGGGCTGCAGGTGTGGGGAACCCAGGAGGAACTCAGTCGGATGCTCTGAGTCTGATGGCCGCTGGGGACAGGAGGAGATCCAGGAAGACTCCAGGTTTCTGATAGGGGAAGGGAGTTCTGAGCTGTTTGGGAGCAAAGGCATGAGCCAAGGGGAGGGAGATGCCAAGGAGACGCCAGTGGAGTGAGGCCCAGGGCACAGTGTGCAGCGGAGGTGGGTGCTGGAGAGAGCGGGAGAGGGGGCGGGCTGTGGGTAGGGGCAAGATGAGGGTAAGGGGCCGAGCAGGCTGGCATTAATGGACTGGGAAGGTGACACTCTGCTCCTTATTATCTTATTTTTTTTTAATATTTTATTTATTTATTTGAGAGAGAGAATGAGATAGAGCATGAGAGGGAGGAAGGTCAGAGGGAGAAGCAGACTCCCCACTGAGCAGGGAGCCCGATGCGGGACTCGATCCCGGGACTCCAGGATCATGACCTGAGCCAAAGGCAGTCGCCTAACCAACTGAGCCACCCGGGCGCCCTGTTATCTTATTTTTGTAAGACACCCACTTCTATGCTGCCCTGCATGTCCTCACCTGTCCCTGTATGTCTCTGTCCACTTGCAGAATATGAGGCTATGACCACCGAAGCCCCGTCCATCACGGCCCCTGAGCCTCCCACCAAGCCCCGCCTGGGGGAGCTGACCGTGACCGACGCCACTCCCGACTCCCTGCACCTCTCCTGGACTGTCCCCGAGGGCCAGTTTGACCACTTCCTGGTCCAGTACAAGAACGGGGACGGGCAGCCCAAGGCCGTGCGTGTGCCGGGCTATGAGGGTGGGGTCACCGTCTCAGGCCTGCAGCCAGACCACAAGTACAAGATGAACCTGTACGGCTTCCACGGTGGCCAGCGCGTGGGCCCGGTGTCTGCCATTGGGGTGACAGGTGAG